AATGAGCTTGAGCTGAGCATGGCCACCCTTGACAGTATATTCCATGCCAGATGGAACTAATTCTGAGTGATCCTTAGTGTTCCTTGCCATGGCTCAGTTGCTGAGTTGCAGCTGGCTGAGTTGAAAGGCAAATAGGCTCACCATGTGCTTGAGTTCACTAATCAGCTGAGGAATCACATAAGCATGCATTGCTGAAGAAAACAGAGCACAAGTCCAAGACCATGGGCAAGCTGAGAGCCAACCCCACAACCCCAGAACCAACCCTGAGTCCTCTCTAAGCATTGCCATCATTCTGAGCATCTTCTAAGCCACATCTCTGATTGTTCTCTGTGGGCATCTTCTAAGCCACACCCTCAGGTCCTGCCAGGGGGAAAAATATAAGGACAAGGTCAACTACATGGGCACTGAACCAAGAAGAACCATCAATTAATTAATTACAATGTATTAATTACAAGTAGTTCGTGTGAAACTAGTTTAAAAAAACAATGGCAACAACAACAGAACCACCTCAGCCCATCAAATGCATTTTTCCACTGCCAGCTGCCTGTCATGGCATGTGATGACACAACTCAGTCTGAGCTGAGATATTGCAAAGCATGCCTAAGTCTTTTGCTCAGGCTTCAAATTACTCAAACCCCTCCCCAACATTGACCTCCACCATCTCAGAAGAATGCTGAGGCTCTTCAAGTCTTGCCTTCTTGGTGGCTGGACCACAAGGCTCAGACTCAGCACTGGCAGCCTCAGAAGGAACTGCAGCTTCAGGCTTGCTGGTACCAGGAGGCTCAGAAACTTGATCTTCAGGAATGGGCTGCTGAGCATCTTTCTGCATTTTCTGATGCAGCTCCGTCCGTGTCTGAGGGCTCAGACCAATAGCTTCCATCTGACTGAGAATCTGCTGAGCCTGCTGTTCTTTTAGCTTCCTCAGTTCCTCCTGAGCCTGTGCCATCTCTTCCTCCTTCTTCTTCTGAGCCACTCTAGCATCAACCCTTCCCTGAGCTTCAATGATGCCAAGCCTGAGCTCAGTCAAGACAGCTTGCTCCTTAGACATCTTCTCAGCATCTTGTAGGAGCATAGCCATAGTCTCATCCTGAGCTGCATAGGCTTTGTCAAGGGGCACAAGCCTCTGAGAGAGGATGGCTCCCAGTCTCTCCAAATCTGAGAGATCAGAACCCTCGAAGTCCATATCCTTCAGCTGAGAGATGGCATCTGCCATGCTGTTCTGAGGGTCAATATGAGCAAGAATTGACTTGCAGTACCCCCCAGCAAAGAAGAGCTGAGCCTTCTCAGCACCTGCAGCCTCAAGTAACTGCTCAGGTTCAGCATCTTGAGGTGACTGAGAATGTTCAGCACCTTGAAGTTGCTGAGAAGGAGGATGCCCAGCAGGCTCAGCTGGCCTCTGCTTGTGCTGAAACTGAGCTGTCCCAAAAGATGCTGAGATTAACCTCTGCCAAGGCAATGGGGCCATGTTGAGAATCACCTGATAATACTGAGCAATGACTTTCTTAGGCCACCCATTGACTTCCTGCAAGGTTGCAAAAGAAGTGAAGAAAACTTTCAATCAGATATTAAAACTTAGTATAATTAATCAATTTTTCAATTAATCAATTAATTGATGAAGGCCATGCACCCATGCTCAGAGACACAAAGAACAAATGCATGCACGCATGTTCAAACCCATGTCCTTGCAGGAATTGCACCCATTCTGAAATGGGATCCTGCTGAGTTTCACCTTAGCATGGCACTGAGGACAAGCAACATCAGGCTCTCCATGATAGCGAGGGTAGCTGATAACATGCTCAGGGTTTGATCCCTCACCAAAGAGGTCATCCACTGAGGGAAAGCTTTGTCGAATGAGTTTGAGCTGAGCATGGCCACCCCTGACAGTATATTCCATGCCATCTGGGACTGAGTCAGAGAGCTTTGCCATGGCTCAGTTGCTGAGTTGCAGATGGCTGAGCTGGAAGGCAAAAAGTTGACTATGTGCTTGAGTTCACTAAGCCTCTGAGGAATCACACAAGCATGCATTCCTGCACAAATTTGAGCACAAGTCCAAGACCATGGGCAAGCTGAGAACCAACCCCACACCCCCAGAACCAACCCTGAGTCCTCTGTCAGCATTGCCACCCTTCTGATGCTTCTCCTTCTCAGGGTCATCCTTCTCCTTCTTCTTCTTCTCAGTGTACTTCTGAAGGAATTCAATAGCCCAGTCTCCTGAGAAGCCACTCTCTTTAATGAATCTGAGAACTCTTTCATGAAACTCCTCAGGTGTCTCATCCACCATGGCTCAGAAAGTGAGCTGATGCTAGCCTGAGAGCTTCTTAAGCTAGGAATTGAGCCCTCACAAGCTGAGAAATGCACCCTTGCTGGTGTGAACACAAGAAAAGCATTAAAAAAAACAGCATCCATACAATTTTTCAAGGTGATACCTCATGATTGGCTCAGTTACTCAATAATATGAATGTTTGGATGGCACTCTATTGTGCCCAACAGCTTCTTGGGGTTGAAAAAAATCAAAAACCCTTTCTCCACCTTTCTCTGAGTAAAGCTGGTCCATTTACTTTAGAAATGCATATTTGTGTTAAAGCTTTAAAATGCAAGGTTTTCCAAATAATTAGATGCCTTATTAAACACTTAAAAAAAAAACAGCATCCAAACAATTTTTCAAGGGAATCCCTCATGAGTGGCTCAGTTACTCAATAATATGAATGTTTGGATGGCACCCTATTGTGCCCAACAACTTTTGGGGTTGAAAAAAATAAAAACCCTTTCTCCACCTTTCTTTGAGTAAAGCTGATCCATTTACTTTAGAAAAACATATGTGTGTCAAAGCTTTAAAATGCAAGCTTTTCCAAATAATTAGATGCCTTATAAAAAAAAAAAAATTAAAAACAGCATCCAAACATTTTTTTCAAGGGAATCCCTCATGAGTGGCTCAGTTACTCAATAATATGAATGTTTGGATGGTACCCTATTGTACACAACAACTTTTGGGGCTGAAAAAAATCCAAAACCCTTTCTCCACCTTTCTCTGAGTAAAGCTGGTCCATTTACTTTAGAAAGCCATATTTGTGTTAAAGCTTGAAAATCCAAGCTTTTCCAAATAATTAGATGCCTGAAAAAACCATGAATGGTTCAGATACTCAATAATATGAATGTTTGGATGGCACCCTATTGTGCCCAACAACTTTTGGGGTTGAAAAAAATCAAAAACCCTTTCTCCACCTTTCTCTGAGTAAAGCTGGTCCATTTACTTTAGGGAACCATATTTGTGTTAAAGCTTTAAAATGCAAGGTTTTCCAAATAATTAGATGCCTTATTAAACCCTTGTTAAAAAACAGCATCCAAACAAATTTTCAAGGTTGTACCTCATGAGTGGCTCAGTTACTCAATAATATGAATGTTTGGATGGCACCCTATTGTGCCCAACAACTTTTGGGGCTGAAAAAAATCAAAAACCCTTTCTCCACCTTTCTCTGAGTAAAGCTGGTCCATTTACTTTAGGGAACCATATTTGTGTTAAAGCTTTAAAATGCAAGCTTTTCCAAATAATTAGATGTCTGAAAAAAAAACATGAATGGTTCAGATACTCAATAATATAAATGTTTGGATGGTACCCTATTGTGCCCAACAACTTTTGGGGTTGAAAAAAGTAAAAACCCTTTCTCCACCTTTCTTTGAGTAAAGCTGATCCATTTACTTTAGAAAAACATGTGTGTTAAAGCTAAATACAAGGTGTTCCAAACAATTAGATGCCTTATTAAATCCTTATTAAAAAACAGCATCCAAACATTTTTTCAAGGGCGTACCTCATGAGTGGCTCAGTTACTCAATAATATGAATGTTTGGATGGTACTCTATTGTGCCCAACAACTTTTGGGGCTGAAAAAATCAAAAACACTTTCCCCACCTTTCTCTGAGTAAAGCTGGTCCATTTACTTTAGAAAGCCATATTTCTGTTAAAGCTTGGAAATCCAAGCTTTTCCAAATAATTAGATGTCTGAAAAAACCATGAATGGTTCAGACACTCAATAATATGAATGTTTGGATGGTACCCTATTGTGCCCAACAACTTGTGGGGTTGAAAAAAATAAAAACCCTTTCTCCACCTTTCTTTGAGTAAAGCTGATCCATTTACTTTAGAAAAACATATGTGTGTTAAAGCTAAATACAAGGTTTTCCAAACAATTAGATGCCTTATTAAATCCTTGTTAAAAAACAGCATCCAAACAGTTTTTCAAGTGTGTACCTCATGAGTGGCTCAGTTACTCAATAATATGAATGTTTGGATGGTACTCTATTGTGCCAAGTATGCCTAGTATGCTAGTTATATAAATTCTACTTTAGATAGCCTTTCCCATGGGTGGCCTAGATCCTTAGCTAAGCATTAATTAGTAGTGACAACATCCCCCCCTGATCATGCTAAGTCAAATCTGAGTGATTGCAGCCAGCTCCAAGCCACTTTTTCATCCAGTGCCTCTGAAATCTGATGCTGTTGAAGAGCTGATGCATGCTGAGAATGCATAAAGTAGACAAAAATCATGACCAAGTCATGGCTGAGGGTTGCTTAGGCTGTGCCAAGCTTCTAAAAAGTAGAAGTCACCTAAGCCCCATCAGAAGTGCATCTGCTGATTCTTACTGTGCTTGCTGAGATAGATGCAGATGATGTAGCCCTGAGACTTTTCTTCACATCTTCAGGTCCTGCCAGGGGGAACAGTATAAGGACAAGGTCAGCTACATGGGCACTGCACTAAGAAGAACCATTACAATGTCCAACATTGGCCATTACTTATGCTAAGTAACTAAAGTAATTAGTTAATACTTTAACTATTCTAAACCCCAACAACGACCAGCAGCAGTGCCAAAACCACCCACATCCCTGCAGAACTGCACTCATTTTTTCTGCCAGCTTTTCAACATGCTGCTAAGACTTATGAACTGACTAAGCATTGCTCAGCATGAATGCACCTGAGTCATACCTCCTCAGGCTCCAAGAAACTGTACTACTTGTTGTCTGAGTTGGCAGACATGGCTGAGCCCTGGGACCTCTGACTAGTCCCATCTTGCTGACATTTTTGCAACAGCTTGCTGAGATCAAATTCAGTCAGATTGTACTCCCTCATGAACTCATCAATGGCAGTCTTCTTTGTCTCATTCAACTGAGCCCTAGTATCTATGTATTTCTCAGCTCTTTGCAGATTCACCTTCAGCTCAGCTTGCAAAGCACTCAGCTCCTTTTGCTCAGCTTCCATTCTATCAGCATCTTCCCTGAGCCTGGTGATTGTAAGTTCCTGAGGTATTTTTGCCTGCTCAAGTAGAACAATCTTAGACCTCATACACTGGCTCAGATCATATGCATTGTCTAAGCCCCTGAGCTTCTCATCGCTTTTTGAGTTGTCCAGGAGCTTCTGAATCTCATGGCTAATGTCCAGTTGGTGGAGCTGAGACTTGACATAGCCCTGGGCATCATTGGCAGTCCTGATAGGCTGAGGTACCTGATGATCTGATGAAGAAGCATGTGGTACCTCTGGTGGCTGATGAGGTCTGCCTGAGCCCCTCCCATGATATTTCCACATGGCTGAGATGATATAGAGCTAAGGTTTGCTGAATCTTTGCACCCAGATTCGATCCTCAATTAAAAACCTGAGGAGTCACATAGACATGCACATATGAACATGCTACAACTTCATTGGCTAATTAATTAATTAACTGATTAATTAATTAACTAATTAATTAATTAACTAATTAATTAATTATTTAATTAGTTACTCAATTCTTTGATGTCAACATGACTGAGCAAGATTGAGACAAGGTCAACTACATGGGCACTGAACTAAGAAGAACCACTACAATGTATTAATTATAATGTGTATTTCTTGGGAAACTAGTTCAAAAAAACAATGGCAACAACAGCAGAAACAGCAGCAGCATTGACACATTTTCCCTGCCAGCTGCTTGCCATGGCTTGTGGTGTTTCAAAAAAATTAGGTAATCTGTTAATTACCTAGGTTCATCGTCAAGCTAGTGTTCATCCTCAGGTATTACCTGAGTCCTCTGGCTTCTCAATCCTTTGCTTCTTGCTGAGACCAGGGGGCTCAGAAACTTGATCTTCAGGAATTGGCTTCTGAGCATCTTTCTGCATTTTCTGATGCAGCTCCATCAAAGCCTGAGGGCTCAGACCAATAGCTTCCATCTGATGCAGAAGATCCTTAGCCTGCTGTTCTTTTAGCTTCCTCAGTTCCTCGTGAGCCTTTGCCATCTCTTCCTCCTCCTTCTTCTGAGCCAGGAAACCTTTCAGCTTCTCCTGAGCATCTAAGATGCCAAGCCTGAGCTGACCTAAGACACCTTGCTCCTCAGCCATCTGCTGAGCATCTTTGAAGATCCTCTGCATAGTGGCATCCTGAGCAGCATAGGCTTGCTCAACAAGCAGAAGCTTCTGAGAGAGGATGGCTTCCAGCTGCTCCACATCTGAGACATCAGGACTAAGGTCCATCCCCTTCAGCTGATTGATAGCCTGGCTGATGCCATTCTCAGGGTCAATCTTAGCAAGCAATGACTTGCAGTACCCCTGAGCAAAGGTGGGGTCATCAGTCTGGGCAGCCATAGCAAAGGTAGCAGCTTCAGGTGGCTGAGAAGGTTCAGCATCAGCTTCAGCTTGAGGTTGCTGACAACAAGGAGGCTCAGCAGGCTTAGGTGGCTTCAGTTTATGCTTGAACTGAGCTGTCCAGTAAGGTTTTGAGGAGATTGACCTCTGCCAAGGCAATGGGGTCATGTTGAGAATCACCTGGTAATACTGAGCAATGACTCTCTGAGGCCACCCATTGACATCCTGCAAGGTTGCAAAAGATGTGAAGAAAACTTTCAATCAGATATTAAAACTTAGTAATTAATCAATTAATTAATCAATTCATTGATGAAGGCCATGCACCCATGCTCAGAGACACAAAGAACAAATGCATGCACGCATGTTCAAACCCATGTCCTTGCAGGAATTGCACCCATTCTGAAATGGGATCCTGCTGAGTTTCACCTTAGCATGGCACTGAGGACAAGCAACATCAGGCTCTCCATGATAGCGAGGGTAGCTGATAACATGCTCAGGGTTTGATCCCTCACCAAAGAGGTCATCCACTGAGGGAAAGCTTTGTCGAATGAGTTTGAGCTGAGCATGGCCACCCCTGACAGTATATTCCATGCCAGATGGAACTAATTCTGAGTGATCCTTAGTGTTCCTTGCCATGGCTCAGTTGCTGAGTTGCAGCTGGCTGAGTTGAAAGGCAAATAGGCTCACCATGTGCTTGAGTTCACTAATCAGCTGAGGAATCACATAAGCATGCATTGCTGAAGAAAACAGAGCACAAGTCCAAGACCATGGGCAAGCTGAGAGCCAACCCCACAACCCCAGAACCAACCCTGAGTCCTCTCTAAGCATTGCCATCATTCTGAGCATCTTCTAAGCCACATCTCATAGGGACAAGGTCAACTACATGGGCACTGAACCAAGAAGAACCATCAATTAATTAATTACAATGTATTAATTACAAGTAGTTCTTGTGAAACTAGTTCAAAAAACAATGGCAACAACAACAGAACCACCTTAGCCCATCAAATGCATTTTTCCACTGCCAGCTGCCTGTCATGGCATGTGATGACACAACTCAGTCTGAGCTGAGATATTGCAAAGCATGCCTAAGTCTTTTGCTCAGGCTTCAAATTACTCAAACCCCTCCTCAACATTGACCTCCACCATCTCAGAAGAATGCTGAGGCTCTTCAAGTCTTGCCTTCTTGGTGGCTGGACCACAAGGCTCAGACTCAGCACTGGCAGCCTCAGAAGGAACTGCAGCTTCAGGCTTGCTGGTACCAGGAGGCTCAGAAACTTGATCTTCAGGAATGGGCTGCTGAGCATCTTTCTGCATTTTCTGATGCAGCTCCATCAAAGTCTGAGGGCTCAGACCAATAGCTTCCATCTGACTGAGAATCTGCTGAGCCTGCTGTTCTTTTAGCTTCCTCAGTTCCTCCTGAGCCTGTGCCATCTCTTCCTCCCTCTTCTTCTGAGCCACTCTAGCATCAACCCTTCCCTGAGCTTCAATGATGCCAAGCCTGAGCTCAGTCAAGACAGCTTGCTCCTTAGACATCTTCTCAGCATCTTGTAGGAGCATAGCCATAGTCTCATCCTGAGCTGCATAGGCTTTGTCAAGGGGCACAAGCCTCTGAGAGAGGATGGCTCCCAGTCTCTCCAGATCTGAGAGATCAGAACCCTCGAAGTCCATATCCTTCAGCTGAGAGATGGCATCTGCCATGCTGTTCTGAGGGTCAATATGAGCAAGAATTGACTTGCAGTACCCCCCAGCAAAGAAGAGCTGAGCCTTCTCAGCACCTGCAGCCTCAAGTAACTGCTCAGGTTCAGCATCTTGAGGTGACTGAGAATGTTCAGCACCTTGAAGTTGCTGAGAAGGAGGATGCCCAGCAGGCTCAGCTGGCCTCTGCTTGTGCTGAAACTGAGCTGTCCCAAAAGATGCTGAGATTAACCTCTGCCAAGGCAATGGGGCCATGTTGAGAATCACCTGATAATACTGAGCAATGACTTTCTTAGGCCACCCATTGACTTCCTGCAAGGTTGCAAAAGATGTGAAGAAAACTTTCAATCAGATATTAAAACTTAGTACCAGTAGTACCCGCACGAGGCGGGGCGGAAGTTGCCTTATAGATATATATAAGACCTTTCTCATCTATAGAACTTGCATGCGCCGTGCGCCAGCCAGGCCCGTGCGTGCGTGCACTCTGCGAAAGTGGTGTCCTGTTTCACATGTCACATTTGAAGCTCCACTTCGCACTTCACGCTTCACACTCCACACTTCACACTCCACACTCCACACACCACACTCCACACTTCACACTGCACGCTTCCCACTGCACACTCCACACTTCACACTTCACACTTCACACTCCACACTTCACACTTCACAGTCCACACTTCACACTTCTCACTTCTCATTGCTTTCTTCACACTCCACACTTCACACTTCAAACTGCACTCTTCGTGCCCCACACTTCACACTCCACACTTCATCTCATCTGAGCTCTTCTCGGCGCTTCTGCACGTCAGCAAGGTTGAGCGTAACTCATGTTGATTCTTCTACATGCCAAAAGGCGTAGACCATAAAATATTTACAATATTGAGGTCATTAATGCCAAGCGTTGATGCATTGCATGAAATCGCACCGGCAAGTGTGAACATGGTGTAGTTGTTACCTGTCAAGGAGATTCACGCAGTCCAAGCTCGACAGCTGCTTTTTTCTCTGCGCTACACTTGGTCGTCTAGGCTTTTGGCAGCTTTTCGGCCCGCACTGGCACGAAAGGCTGGAGAGCTTATCACGTTGGAAGCCTGGTTGGCCGTCATGGCACTTCACGAAGCAAATCAGGCAAGAAGTTCTCACTATCCGCAATGACATTGCGGACCCAAGCTGCATCTGCTTGCGACAAACGACATCCTGCACCTGCTCGGTAAGCACTCAACAACATGGCCGCAGCGTGCACACCATCATCTGTCAGGGCAACGCAGCGCTGTTCTGCCAAGGTATCGTCTTGTTCCGTGCAAACAGTTGTCAAGGCTTCGAAACAACCAGCGCAGAGTCCATATTTGAAGTAACCCAAACCAATATTCCTGCGCTCCTCGGTTGGGATACTTCGTCTGCACGCGAAGCATAGTGAATTTTGCAACGCGTTGTAGACGTGCAATGCAATCTTCAAGCTATGCTTGAGAGCTGCCATTTCTTCGAAGCCAATGTCAATCCTCAAGTTTTGCGACTCCAAATTTCCTTCCTCTTCCACTTTGCGTTGCAGCAAGTTTCTAAGGTTGGCGCTCTGCAGCACACATGCATTCGTAGCTGTCGAAGCAGCGCTCAAGTTGCTGAGCGCATGGAGATCCAGCAATTCGAAATCGACTGCCAACCGCCAGAAGTCGCAAGGTCCGATAGCCATGGTGGTTGCCCTCGTGGACCGCACTGTCGCACGAGGATGGTCGCAAAGCGATTCTCTAACAGCAGAGCGTAGCTGCAATATGAGTCTCCTGTCGTGTAATACAGTAAGTAGAGACATGGAGGTATAGCAAGGTTATGTGCGTCACGGCATGAACTAACTGTATTCCGTGCAACTTCTCTTACTGTACTTTATCCTTGGAAGTCATCACTGCAAACAGCTGCAAGCACGTAAAACCAGAGATAGGACATCGATGCTGGCCTTCAGTCTATCATGCATAAACACATCGTTGCAGTGTGGAGCAAACAGTACGTCACATAACCGGAAACATCCAACAACCCGTGCACCAATCCTGTTCTGATTCGCATTCCCCAGTTTCTTCACAAACTTTGAATTCTTCATGTGTCCCTTTTTTACCATACCTTTTTTTGCTTGGCATCTATGAGAAACTGTTTTATTTTTGCATCAGACACCATTGAAGCCACACGTCTTTATTTCAGAAGTAAGCAGAACTCAGAACCCAGCGCGATGCAGATCATGTAGCAACCAATGCTAGACACAGCAACAAGAACGTGATTGCATGGCACAATCGATTACATGACACTGAACGCAATGGGACTACCTCACATTACTTTTCCTGCACCCTGTCAAAGCACTTGCAAGATGTCATGCACTCACAGATTCGCTAGCGCAGAGAAGCTTGCGTCAGCAGCAGTGATTTCTTTTTTTCAAGACAGCAGCAGCAAGGCTGGGTCAGCGCACGCCATTCGACCCGCACTGGTGCGACGGCATGAGTCAAAATAGAAACTTCAATGATTCCCATTCGGCAGCTGAATGTGCTGCACTGTAGGCCAAGTGTAAGGTCTACGGTTGTGATAGTAAGATGCCTCTGCGTCCGTTTCACTGTTGTCGTCCACATGTTCCACAAAGCTTGCGAGTCGTCTTTCCAAGGAAGGTCGTGATCGCGGTGATGATTGCCAGTAAGCGGTCTCAACTAGGTGCCCTCGAAAGCCCACCACCACAAATTCCAACCTTGCATCTCGACGCACATCATGACAAGGTGTGTTTCCCCGAGGCCAGCGAAACCGCTTACGCGTGACAGTCGCCCGGAATGTCGACCTTGCTCCGTGTCGCACCAAGTGGTGCCATAACGGATCGAAGTAGCGACTACGGAAAACACTCTGCGGGCGCAGATCTGCGATGTGCAGCATGGACTTCCTAAGCGTGGGCACATAACTGGAGAGCTTGGAATTCCTTCCAGGAAGACACCCCATGGTGATGGCGCATGAGCGGGTGGATTGAACATGAGCATTTCCTGGCAAACTGCGGCATAGAGCTGTTGAATCAAGTTCCCCGCAGAAGGCCGACGTTTCGGATCCAAGGTGACATCATGTTGCTCCAACTTCATCAGCATGGTCTGGACAAAATCGGCGCCGAGCGCATGACGGCGCGTCGACAGCAGCTGCGTTGCGGCGACCCAGCCCAAGCATTCCAGGACAGTAGGCTGCAACGGCCGGAGAAGCTCCAAGGCATCTGCCATGCATACTGTTGGGAGCTCGCCCTTGCTGTGCCGCGCGAGATTGCTCCTCCGGGCCGCACTGCCGCGGAATTTGCGCACCTACGCAACAGTCGTCTTGACACAGGATTTTGAAACACAGCTATATATCACATGTAATCTCAAGAGATGATTCCTATATCCCGTTTATTGGATTTGGCGATACTGCAACCGTCACAACCATAATTTAAGGTTGACGCTGTTCTTTCCTGTGCATGTCTTTTAAACATGACGACAAACTTGAAAATGACCACAACAACTGGAGCCAGAAAACTGCAGTGACAACTCAATGAATCCTATCCGTTACATTGTCAACCTCTGCCCTTGGCGAACAGTTGCGGCCATTCCATGTTACAGTTCTTCTCCAATAGCACAATAGCCACACATCCGCCTTGATTTGGCAATTCATGTCCCGACACCGCTTGCATCAAATTTCAATCACACGACCCGTGGCCGGGCGTTTCATTTTCCTTCCATCGCAGCCACCTTCGACCCGCACTGGTACGAAGGACGATGTCAGACACTATAGAGACTGCGACGCTATATGAGCGTCACATGCGCTCGTCAAGTCGATGTGACGAGGAGCAACTTCAAATAGAGTTTCGTCCTGTCACAGCAACCTCCGACCCGCACTGGTACGAAGGATGCCGTCAGGCACTGCCAGCACGAGGTGGAAGAATCTTGCAAGAACTTCAAGTGTGTGCCGAAGTGCTGTGGCTCGGCGATGTCAACGTCTCCTCACTTTCTTGACCTTCGTCAACGGCGTCTGCAGCGACATTTCCGCCGCTCTGCGTTTGTTGCCTTCATCTTCAAAGCTACTCTCCTGCCATGCTTTGCGTTTGCACCAAGCGTCTAAGTCAGCGGGCTCTGCATTGGCATAAAAGACAACTTGCCAGTATGCAACGCTTTCACCCTTGACGTGTGGCTGCGCGATGACTCGCAGTAACGTCTGAGGCTGCATCCGAATCACCGGCATCACTTCTTTCAAAGTGCCGACCCACATGAGTGTCACCTTGTGCCCGCTTTCAGCCACTGGATCTTCCCCAACGATAGTAATGCGAACGCCTTTTTCATGGTCATTTGCACCCTATAGGTCAGGCAAGGTTATTTGGAGCAAAATAGGTAAAAGTGATTTTGGAGGCAATTTTCTAACTAATAGTTTATTCTTAAGGAAACACAAATAGTTAATTTTTTTTAACTACATAGTTAATTTTTAAGGGTCCATTTCAAGGTAATTTTTGGGGTTTAAAAAAATACCTTCAAAATTTACCTTGAAATTTTGCATTTTTTGCATGGAAAAAAAGATAATGAATTTCGACATTTTCTTAACATTGTACCATAGTAAAGTGAACATTATCAATTGCTTGAAAGGTATTTTAACAATATGTTTCTTGATTTTGTGTGAAGTCAGTCCTACATGATTACTGGAAGTGCAAAAAACTATATTGTTTGAACTTATACTTGTTTGAGCAAATCAAAGTTTTTATTTGTGAAGATCAAATCTGATTGGATGTTTTGAAGATATGTTATACAACATCAAAGCTACAATGAAGAAACCCCAGGCATACATTCTGTCTTTGAAAGCTCGGTGAGGACATCCATCAAAGTATAATTGAGTTTTTGGTCTTTCTTGTCAAAAAAAAGATTTTGACAGCCGGTCTTTGACAATCTCTGCCCAGTCGCTCCTGGGAGCACTTGCCCTGCTCAGTTTCACAGGAGCATCACAAATCGCTTTTGGCAATGCCTGGAGGATCCGAGTCTCAAGTTACTTTTGACCCAAGAAGATAAGATAGCCATGTTGCAAATAGCTCCCGTGACTATGCCTACTTGGCACACAGAGACCCGTGGCTATGTCTACTTGGTCAGAAGCCACCACAGCTGTGGTCTTTACAGTGTTGCTGCTTCACTGCCCATCCGCCACTCCCATGTGCAAATCTTTTGCGTTTCTGGCCATGGGCGGGTGGGAAGCGAAGCCACATATATGCTTAACATTGCTTAGCATCAGCAACTATAAGTTTGAAGATGCGTCGCTTTGTTTGCTGCTTGGGTGTGGTGGGTGGGAAGCAACAATAATTATACATGATACTGGTTACATCTTTCCATAACTCGAAAGTTTGCCTTCTAAACTCCATAACTCGGAAGTTTGCCTTCTAAACTCCATAACTCGGAAGTTTGCCTTCTAAACTCCATAATTCGGAAGTTTGCCTTCTTAACTTTCATAATTTATTATTTGCCCGTTTATGAACTACAACGTGTCTTTTTAACCATGTGTCATGTGTACTTGTAGGTCCATGCATATAGCCAACCAAAGTGTTTTTTAATCATGCGTCATATGTCCGTGGGTCCAAATATGTTCATGGGTCCATGCGTAGCCGGGTTGAGTGAAACATCGCTGGCCGATCGCCACCCTTTTCCAGCTGCTGTGGTGTTTTTGTATTTTGCTTCTTTTTGTGTATGGCCAATGAAACCAAATACTTTCAAAACATATGTTCAAACATGATCATGTTGAAACCAGCAGGGTAGCCCCAACAAACTTGACATATGACATATGGTTTCGTGGTTCTAGTTTAAACCAGTGGAATGGCACCGCTAACTAAATCTGTAACTAAATGGTAGTTTACCATGACAGACTCAACCATTAAGACTGTATATCGCGATCATGTTGCTCGCTGGATCGGGCGGCGGTCGACACATGTGGCCAATGCAGGCCATTAAGGTGCACGGTCGCATGCGCCTGGTGGAAATGTTTATCTGATTATGATTGGTACATGGTATAATATTATGGTGTTCCATGATGTAATGGTAAGTTGGTATCAATTCACTGCGGTTTCATAAAATAATGTTTATTTGTGAATGTTGGGTGGCAACCATGCCAATCATGTAAATACTTGCAGTGGGTACAAGCCCCAAGAGATCAACCCATGCAGTGTTTTGAATACCAACTTACCATTGTATATGTAAACTATATATATATAAGATTCAACCGTCATGGTAGAGGCTTTGCACCTCATGATGCCACAATCGCCTTCATTAATTGGACGGCGTTTATTTGATGATACTTTGGGGTTAGCAATTTGGAGACACACTGTGGATGGAAGAAATCCTGCACCAGTTGGCAACCGGTAGGTAACTATGAAACATTGTACATAATGGGGTTATAAGGGTATAAACCATAACCACTTGGTGCAGATTTCTTCCATCCACCGTATGACCTTATGATACATTTGGATCCATTTGGTATCCATGATGATGTTCATACATATATCTTCCAAACTATTCATTTCGAGGTAAGTTATCATCAGATTATCCCTATAGTCAGTAAAAATATCCAACAGTTATATCACTATTAGCCAGTGGCACCCAAATTATAAATCATTAAAACTACATAGAATTACTGTTCATTTTCATTAACCGTCAGCAACCATCAGAAATTCATCCAACAAATCCTAATGAGTTTAGCACCAACTAGAAATCAATCAACCATTCATCAACATTTGATAAGTACATGTAGATCTTCATGGGATATTTGTTTTTATCCACCAGATGCCGCAACGCAACGCCCAGTAGCATTCGGGCTTCGCCATCCTTGGCTGTGAGGGATGAAAAACCCAAAGGTTGACCATTCTATCATTGATATGGGTTGATAACCAGTAAGATATGTTCTTCGGGGTCTTCTGGATTGAACGTGATTATGATAATTTAATTAGGTTTGGGGTGGAGAGTAAAGCCTTCTCAAGACAGTGCAGGGTTACCATGGCATGGTTATTATATTTAGCGCAACCGCCTTGGCAATTGAAAACCGTTGTGGCTCTAAGAAAAATCATTTTGGGAACATTGGGCACATCGGTGGTTGCAATGTCGCTTTCAAAGATTACGGCAAGCTCCCCTTTGCACCTGCGACCTTTAGCTGATTGGAGAACATGGTGGACACCGGATATCCCAGAAACCATTGCCAAGGCGATGAAGGACCACATCAATGTCCGGAGACTCCCAGGAAATGGATGTATTCTTAATACTAGCCATTTCAATGGTGATATCATCAAGGATCCCCATATCAGCAGTGTTGCAGAAGCATTGCTAGTGGCCTACCCAAAGAATAGGCAACCATCTGGCTACTTGTTGGGGGATGTGGTCCTGAAGCTGGATGATTTGTGGAACGGAAGTCTTTTGGGTGGGGCCAAGGAAAGTCCCATCATGGAGAGAAGTAGGAGGGACAATGCCCTTTCGGAGGGTGGACGGTTGAAAAAACTGTTGAGCTATGTTCGCACCTCAGCCCTGAAGTCTGAGAATGGAAAAACAGCAGAGGTAACATACCTCAAGAGTTTGGCAAACCAAAGGCCAGTTAGGACCAAACGTTCAACATCGGTGGCTTCAACTGATACCAGCGTGAGTTCCATGAGTAACGCAACAACTTTGGTTTTGGGGTAGCTAGTTGCAGAGTTAGTGATCTTTGTTTTCAAGTGTTTTTGGAAATGTGTGGTTTTACTTGAATGCCCAAACTAAGGCAACACACTTAATGATTTGAACCTTGTATTCCACCCGTCCCAGCCAAGGCAAGAGATTCCAGACAAGTCTCCTGGAGAAACGTCCAACTCCTCGATCTCCGTCTTTGATGAAACTATGGCTCTCCTGGGGTGGCCGGACAGCAAAGCATGGTTGGCTTTGAATGGTGGTAAGGATGGTAAAACGACATATACCAGAACCAAAGGGTATGATAGAATCATCATATTTATAAAGTTGCCAACATATCCATATAGTAATTGATGGTGAACATACATATGTCATTTCTTGTTAGGCAGGTACTTATTGTTTTTATTCATTGATCTGTTGGTTCAGTCATTCTGTTCGTAGTAGATAAATCAAGTAAAGGCCTATTGCCTTGATTGGGGACCATTTGAGTAAGGGGTAAATGTATCAATACATACCAACCTTACCAGGTTTGGATATTTCACCATAAGGTTGTATAGAAACTCAAATGGTTGGGGTAGTTGTATAGAAACAGTACCAGGGGAAATGTATCCAACCTTATGGTGGTGGTCAATGATCCCTTTGCCATTGCTATATACACCTCATCAAGTGAAAAGATGAATGCTCCAAAAACAGTTTGGGTAGCTGCCCCTTAGGCTTGACCCCAACCAAGCTTGCAGCTACCAAAGCTTCACTAATTTGGCGGAGAAAGAGTTGGGGGCTGATTGCAAGTGGATGGAGTATGTCAACTCTCTTGGGTCCAACCAGACGCCTTCCACAGAAGCTGTGAGCCCTATGACTGTGGATTCTATGACCGTGGATTCTTCGCAGACCGTAGCCAAGGCCAATATATACAACAAAGTAAAACACATGATAATGCTGTGGAATATCCTACATTGCTCCTGGGTTTTGGATCGGTTTGATGATATTGAGCCATGGTCAAAACTGGGTATTATCAACCATCATGAGGGGATGATCTTCCAATGGTCAATAGGGATTTATAGCAACGACCATGGCCACTATAGGGAGTTTTGACCATGACACAATATGGCTGAATCAGGGTTGTTCAACACATAACGCCCTGAAGGATTTGACGAGGGAGTTTGACTCTGAGCCCTTGCCCGCCCCAAGCCGTCCAGATGTCAGTATGATGCCAGTGGAAGCTGTGGCAGCCTTGGACGCTGACAGCACTGCAGCGAACCCGCGGCAACAGCTTCTTTTGGTGGAACCCTGGTTTTGAAATATAATACAATATATATACATATATATATATGATGAATATAAAAATATATAGATATATAATGATTATATATATATATTTAATGAATATATATATATATGTATTCATTATATATATATTTATATTCATCATATATATATGATGAAAATAAATATATATGATGAATATAAATATATATATAATGTATATATGTATATATTCATTATATATATTTATATTCATCATATATATATATATATGATAAATATAAATAAATATAATGAATATATTTATATATATATATTCATTATTTATATATATAATGAATATATATATATAATAACTATATATTTATTTATTTAGTTAGTTATTTATTTATTTATATATGAATATATATATATATATAATTATATATACGCCAATCACTGAATACAAAAATTGGAGATATGTTTTATGCAAACACTTAATACAAAAATGAACATATACATATATACATCGGCATAGAAAGGCTAATTAGTTCACCAGTAGTTGCGAGTGAACCACTTCACATATATGTCCTACTCACATTGTACCTAGTGAAATGCTACCATATTTTTCAAACATTGAACCATTATGACCATTATGTAAACCCAGACTTTGAGAAGCATTTGGAATTGAAGATGCATGGCTGTATAACGACACCAACTATAAATATAGGGGTTATGTACCACCATGAAATCAATGTTGTTTGTGTCTGGCCATCTCATGGAAATACTTACCCATGATGATGCCTTGATCAAAAGAAACCAGAACAGTCCTAAGCTGGGGCTCCTTCGCAATGGCATCCATGCAGCGCCCAGGATTCGAAGAAGAGGCCAAAGCCTGCCGATGGAGGTCCCAGTGATGCTCACAACCATGAAGAGCCAGCCCTTAAGCAAAAACATACTAAATTTGCAGTTTCCTATGTTTGGGGGTAGTTTTGCAAACCCCATCCCGATGGAGTTGTTTTTCATGTAACTGTTTTCAACCAAGTAAGGATACTAAGCGTGAGAAGACCTGCCCCGATGCTGTGGGTGATTCTGCTGCTGACCCATCCATTGCAACTTGGTGGTTTTTTCTTTCAACCGTTTTGAAATAACAAGGACCTATGTGTTTCTTCAATATGGGCCTATGTATGTGCATATAAAACCATTCCTATGGCCAGTTTCCACTGCCCTTAGCCAGCTTGCCTTAGCTCTGTTCCCAAGGCAGGTCGCAAGAAGCCTGACCTTGGAGCCGTTGATGGCGCTTTGCCCATCCCAGAAGGCCGCAGTTCAGGGTGACCTAATATTATGTATATACATGTGTTTGCTTATCATGACTATAGCGTTTGTTTTGTGCATTGACATTTAACGCATTTAAATTTATGTGTTTAGTGTATATATATATAAGTTTGGTTTCAAAAAACTACTTACATAAACATAGATAGATAGATAGATAGATAGATAGATAGATTAGATAGATGGATAGATGGATAGATAGATAGATGGATAGGTGGATAGATGGATAGATGGATAGATGGATAGATGGATAGATGGATAGATGGATAGATGGATAGATAATGATCGATAGATGGGGGGAGAAACACATTGTTAGCCTTGTTTTGAAATCATTTGACATGAACCTTTCATGGTTCGAACTTCCACTAACAATATTGTTAATTTCCAAACCCTTGGGGAGGTATGCCAGAGCATGCTCTTCCTCAAGGCTATCGCAAAGGCAGGCTTTCCTACACTATTTGCAGCTCCAGTACTAAAGCTCGGGTGGAGGTTTTGCTCAAGCAAAAGGCGTTTCGCATTGTCAAGATTGGTGAGAAAGATGGCTACTGGGATCACTGACTATTATGATATTTTGATTCTGTTTCCAATAGGTTTGCATTGAACATTGTTTATCCCAATGATGGTTGTCGCTCCATTTACTCAAAGTCTAGGGAGGTTCTGAAAGATAACAGTATCCAACATTTTTGAAAGCAAGAGTTTCAAAGGGCAGGTTGAAGAGCGTGGTGGTTCTGTTTCTAATTAATTGTTTGGCGTAATGATTCACCTCGCCCCTTCCTTATCTTTATGCTTGGCCCAGGTAAGGCTTTGCATGACAAGCCTGCAGTCCTTCAGACACCTTGGATGGACAACATCGCCAAGGCATGGGAAACTGTTCAGGCACAGGTGGGATGGCTCTGAGACTTAGCCTTAGCTATCATGGTTGATTAATTTAACAGTCGCTGCCTGCTTAGTTCACAGCGACGCCATGCTTCAGAAAAGTGTGGAAATTCATTTATGGGATTGAAACTTAGCTGACCTTGCCCAATCGGGGCGGGGCGTCAGTTGGCCGTGTTGAGACTTAAGATTAGATGAGCACAGCTGGGGTTGAAAGAGGTGCTGCAGTGTCTTCTCTCTTTGCTGGTGTTTGCAAGTTTCCGCAATGGTGAGTTCACTGGTTGGTGTGTGCTCCTTCATTTGAATTGATTGTCCTTACTGTCTTCCCCCTCAGCATTTTGGTTTTGGATTGGGCAACTCCTTTGCTCATTTTTGGGGCGCCATGGTTCTCACCCGGTTGAAGCCTTCCACAGAAGAGCGTGAGAAGGTGACCTCAGCCATCTTGAAAAAATCCAAGAAGTTGAAGAAAGATCAAGGTCCTGAGAAAACACAGCGTGCTCTGTCCCAGCCCGGTCTTCAAATTGGTCGCTCTCTATCGAAGACTCACGGAGTCATCAACAAGTGTGGTGACCAGGTCAGGTGGTGAAAATTAACCATGTTATGTTTTGTTTATAGCAAGTTTTCAATAAGGTATTCATCGGCCTGCTTGTTGAATTGTGCTTGTGTGTTCTCCTTGCCCTGTAGTTGCAGTCTGTCCTGCGGGCTCTTGCAGCGATTTCCGCACCCCGGGTTCTACTCCAGTTGGTGTCCCTGATCTTTTTGAGCAACGGGGCCTTGAAAATGGACTTGGACGCAGTTGAGTATTTTGCTGGTTCGATGGCTGTGTCTTGTCTTGTACATATACATGCTTCGTTTTGTCTTGTCTTGTCTTGTCTTGTTTTCATTAAAGGGCTGCATGTTCACGGTATATATTAAAATGGTATTAGTTGCAGCAACCCTGCTGAGGTTACCCAATGTTGGGCGCGTTGCGGGTTCAAGGCAGTTCCCTTCGAAATTAACCTACAAGGTGAGGTGATGGACATACTCAGTCCTATCGGGTTCCTAAGCTTTCTTTGCAGCTGTTTTGTTCAGTTGTGTTTAACATGTTGTTTTGTGAAAGCCCCCAACTTGTTTGTATGTTGTTTCAAGTGTGAGACAGACCATGTTCTAGGTTCTGTGTCGCGTTGGTGATGGCGCTACGGCTTAAGCCAAATGCGTTCTGTATGATAGCGACAGTTTGCAGCACATGGGTATTTCTGAGTCGTTCCCAGCACTTTGGGCTCCAATAGTTGAAGTTTTGTGTTTGTGTTGTTTTGGCTAACGTGATCATGCCCAGTTCGCTGAAATCCTGGGGGTAACATACGCTTATGAGCATGCAACGCCCAGGACACGAAGATCGTTCTTCAACCCCTTGGGGGATAGAAGGGTCAAGAGTGTAGAAGACGCAAACGCATCTTGGAACACAGCGATTGAGTGGGTGAGGTGTCCTTAAGATTGGATATGAACTAGGTTCAATTGGTGCCTCTGTTTTGAAAGATGTTAATTGTTTGTACACCCACCAGTATCTGTATGTATATATTCATTGGCGTTTTTGGGGTGGTGGTTTAAATTTAACCTGCTTTTTGGGTCCTGATGTAGCACCTACCTGTAGATAACAATCTTGGAATGTACTCTAATATGGGGTCACTCCTTTGAAGAAATTTGTTCGAAGATTATGACTAAGACATTTCCTTACTGTGTGTTTAACTGTTATGGTATATGGTTCCATCGTAGAGGAGAAAACACAGTTCCAATGGATTTGGTTTCCAAAAGAAAGTTTCCCTAAGTTCATCCAAACACTTGTAGGCTAAGTGATTTGAATGTTATCCTTCGCACATCCACATAAAAATACACCGATCTCACATGTAGGGGAATGTGATTATTGAACCTCGGGGTTGTTGATCTGAGGTTCACAAAGCGGTTTACAAACCCACCTGAGGTTTCAGAATTACGATAGTGTTGATGCAAACAATTCATACATTAAGCTTGTCTCAACTATATGATGTGACTTTTGTCAGATAATGGTTGTCAAATATGTCTTTTCAATACAACCATATGGGGAGATACTGTTTCCAGTCATGCGGATTAATGTCAGTATCTATCGAGGCCATGGTGTCCCGGATGACGTTGATCTTGTACATCCTACAGTGCAAAAACGTGTTTTACCTCTATGAACAGCCAGGGTCATCATTGCTTTGGAGCCATCCCCGGATGGAGGACTTTATCAGTTCTGTTCATGCCTATAGGGCATGGACTTGGATGGGGGCCTTTGGAGCCTCCAGCCCGAAGGGCACTACATTATGGTCTTCAAGACCTGCTGTGCAGAAAATGTCAAGGGCATTACCTGTTGGTAAAAGTTGGAGCGATGATATCACAACCCGTACTGTTTTGAAAAGTGGCAAACCTTCTGTATCCGGTGGCAAAGGCTTAAAAGAAAGCCAAACTTACACATCACAGTTTGGTTTTGCTACCCTTTCTGTTTGGTTGGAGGAAGATGACTGGCCTGAATCTGATTTGACTTCGGTCACTCTTCCAACCATTTGGTCTCCATTGGTTAAGAAAGACCGGTGGGATGATGCACGTCTTCAAGAAGTGATGCAGTATCTCACTACCCATTAATTTGGCCAATCAACCTTGGGGTGTGTCCCAACATTGTATACCTCTTTACATGGATAGTTATTATCAACTTTGGTATGTCTATCTGAAAATGATGATAGTCCAGAACCATTGCTTTGCAATCAATGCACATCCAAGGCTTGGCTTGAGTCCAGGAAAGTGGTGAATTACTCACTTCAAATTCGTGTTGCCAATTAGCGTTGGGTGCGGTCCCAATGTTACATACCCAATGTATATATATATATATTATGTGAACAAATCGATCCTTGTTCTGGATGTTGTAGTTCAATTGGTACCCGCTTCACTGGTAGTTCCCGGACCCGTTAATCATGGCGGACGGCGAACACTTATTTTGCTCACGCGTGGGGTCTTGAGCCATAGTGGCGTCCCATGCATGAATTGTTTGTATGTTCTCACTACGTTCCCTTTGACACCCCCCATGCCCGTGGTATTCTTCGAACCACGGACACGAGAGAGGGAACTTTGAATTAGATTGTTTCTGCTACTTGAATTACGCCTATGTACATAAAACGTGCCATTCGGTTCCCCCTTCCCCACATTCCCGAAGGGAATAAAGGTTCAGGGTTCGCCTACTCTCTGGCTGTCGATGCATCGGCGCTTCATCAAGCTGTACAACGCGAATTATTGCTAGCTAACATCTACTTATCTACGCTGGCTCAGCTCGCCACTCACCCGTAGGGAGAAATGGGTCACTTCGCCATCAAAGATTTACAATGCTAACTAACGAATTCACGTGCACATTGCAGAATTTCATGCAGATTGGGAATATCAAAAGTCTTGAACCTAAGCGAATTAGTCTAATGCCTCGCTCAGAGTCCACTCAGTTGGTCTTTTCCTGATCATCTGTTTACAAAGACGATACACATCTTGTAGTTCAGTGACCATTCTGACGGACAGAGGTAATAAGTTCACTGCTCACGGCGGACTTTCTTCCATTGAGGTGCTGTTGGAGTTCTCTCCCATCCTGCCGCACGTTTTGGAGCAGCTTTCGGCGATGAAGACTTTGCAGGCGGTGCCTTTGATGGTTCATGGGATTTCGGCATAGCCTTGCCCTTTGGTGCACTAGCCGATGATGATGATGCTGAACCAGTGCCTTCATGTGTCTGTGAAGGTTGCGCAGGTGGTTTAGCAAACTTGGAAGCTGCAGTATGTCCAACCGCTTTGAACACTTCACCCACCACTTCGTCGCCAAGGGTTGGAGCCATCTTAGTTTTCATCTCGGTCTTTCCCCTCTGCGCCTCGGCCTCGGCCAGCTGAATAGCGTACGCCATCTTGCTGACAAAGTTTTGAGGTAAAGGAATGCCACATTGTTGGGCGGCAAAGAGCAGTTCTACTTTCTGCTCTTTCTCCCTCAGGCTCAGATATACTGAGAATGCTGGGAGTTCGATGCAGTTGGGGAAGCCGTGGCTCCCAGAGCGAAAGAAGGTGTACGACTCGTGCTCCGGAAAGGTTCCTTTGAGCAGTCGTCGAAGGAAGTTGCTGATGGTTACTCGCATCTCCTGTTTCCCTTGGGCATCAGCCTGCATTCGGTTCATTGGCATGAGGAAACCTAATGATTCGGGAGTGTACCCGGCGCAGACCAGAAATTCCATCATCTTTTCATAGATCTCCAAATTCTTGATGACAGGCATCATCATGTTTCTCGGTCGTCCTGAGTACATCTTCTCCCCCTCTGACCAGGAGTTCCTTTTCCCTTTCTCCTGAAAGAGTTCATCCAATTCCAGCTCTGTCGGCCGCTTGAGGTTGCCGTCCGGGTCTTCGCCTGTATAGGGGCAGAAGTCGTCCAGGTCCAGTCGGACTCGCCTGGTTTCCGTCATCAGCACATGGTACGCCTCAGGGGTCATAGTGACTCTCTGGTTGTAGTAGTGCCTGAACATTGTGATGACCTTTGACATGACAGCATTGTCATACAAGTGAGCCGCGGCCTCGGAGACATCATTGTTAATAAGACCGTCTTCTGGCATACCCTTGCTGCCGCTCTCAAGATTCTTGGTCCATGCTGGAAGTTTGGTAGAGGGCTCATCATCAGGTTCGACGTCCATTTCATCATCGTCTTCTTCAATGATTTCGTCTTCTTCCCGTTGAGCTTCCTCCTCCTGGTCCATTTCCTCATCGTCGCCTTCATTGTAGTCGACCTCGTCAGGATTGAAACCATAGTCATTGGATTCGGATACGTTTTCTTGTGCTTGGTTGACCGTGTCCTTGAACAATGACTCTTCTTGTCGACGAACTTCTTCATCGAGCTCTTTCTTTGTGGCCTCATCTTCATCGTCTTCAGGAGCTTGTAGCCGATATGGACGAATCCCGCAACTCTCGAGTTCTGTCCAGCAAACTATGCACACTGCTAGTTTTGTCGGCGTCTCGTTGATACAGTGAGGACAATGGCGGCAACCTGAAGTTTGCACCCTTTTGCGTTCGACTATGTAGTCAATCAGCTTGATGCGGGCCAGGTATTGTTCTTGTCCGCCAGGCTCGATGAGGTTGTTCTTGAATTGGTTGACGATGTTCATGGCATCCATGGCAATCTCGTCAAACGGTTGGTCTTCGGCGTCGATGCACTGACTTGCAACTCTCAGGATGGACTCCTTGGTGGCTACCGTTCTTGATTTGATAGTTCCAGACCGGACTACCTGGTCGTCGCCCGAAGGGACGAACAACCGGAGCCATGTCTTGTTGTACTGATCCTTGGGGTCCTGAATCCATCCACCTTTGATTGCTGAGAATGGGATGATCCTTGGTGAAACGATCTGTCCCGAGTCAGTTAGTCGACCGCCATATTCCACCATCAAGGTCTCGGTCGGGATGAACAAGCATATGTAGTCACCCTTACGCGTATCAACGCTCTTCGTGATGGTCCATGATCTGTGATCCCATGGGACGTACGGGTTGAAGAACGTGAACATCCGATGACCTTCTCCAAGACCTCCTGGAATTAATCCCTGCCTCCAAATGCTTCGAAGGTTGGTCTTCTTGGTGATGTGGAAACAAACCGGTAATGACAAAACAGTGTTGGGTGCGATTGGATGCGAAAGCAGCGAGGACAGCAATGAAACGTCGTCTCTCGAAGATCCTTCTTTGTGCCCCGTAGGAGCACGAACTGCCACTGGATATAGCAGTAGACCTTCATCAGGAATGGGCGTATCCGCATCGACATTGTTGTCAATGCACGTCAGGCTGCGGCGCTCAATATCCTTGTTGATCCCAAATGCCAAAACTTGTTCACGCACACGACGTCCATACCTGGCACAGTGGAACATGATCTTGAAGAGCAGTGTCATTCGAAAGTTCGCTTCGTCGACATTCCATGCCCTCTGATCATTTGCTCTTCCCTTTGGGGCAAGGAAAACATGTGGCCAGCGTGCATAATCGTGCCTCCAGATGGACTCACATTTGAGCACTTCCTCGATGGGCACCCAGCCGGCATCATCACAGGGCAGACTCTGTTGCTCTGATACCTTCCCCACATTGTGCCGTAGGATCCTGTTCAGCGATGCACTCACCTTGTCCTCGTAGGCATCGAGTCGGTTGCCAGTTTCGAAGCGGTAGTTGGTCGCATATTCCACGCCGCCAAAGTAGGAGCAATTGAAGAAATGAGCCCCTGTAGTAGGGATGATTTTCAAGAAACCATCTTGCGGCGCCTCGACACGTTTGTAGAAGGTCTTCCTGATGTTGTTGTCAGAGTAGCTTGCCATGAAGTCTGGCACTGACCAAGTGTCACCTCCTCCTCTGACGATAGCGTCTCGGATCACTTCGTTGAGGTCAACAACGTTCTGTGGTCCCAGCTTTGTAACATCACGCCCTTCAATGCAGAATTTACCATACTCATCGAGGTCACCAACTTCAGACATAGTTCTGATGCTGTCATACCATTGGTGTTCGCTAAACCTCGATTTTGTAGGTTCATCTGTTTGCCCCGACCCCGCAGTAGCACCTGAACCGTCCTTCTTGTGCTCAGGAGGCTCCATATCGACGTCATCAGATGTGGGACTATCAGCCTCGAGCGAAGCTCGGACGGCCTTTAGCACTTTTCTGACTTCATCTCTCTTCTCATGTTCACATTCCAGATGGCCATGTTTGGTGCTACCACAATACAAGCATACGTTGACATCCTCAGAGACAGTGAAGAGTTTTCCCAACGCATCCAAAAGTTGTTGTCTCCCCGACATCTCTGATTCCCTGACCACATCAGTGGGATCGTTTGCTGGCTCATCAGCTTCCTCCTCCCCAGGGTGAGCCGAAGGCTCGTCACCTGGCTTGGCATCGGCATCAGTGCCCATGCTGGCGTCATTCCCTGTGATGTTGTTCTTCCTGCGATAATGAGAGAACACCTGATCCTTCTCCCATTCCGTGAGGCAGCTGAAATTGGCCAGAGTCTCATATCCGGGGATTGCGTGGATGATCTTCATGACCCTCTCGGCTTCTGCGGTTTGCAGTGTGCAGTCGAAGGATCCCCGTCTCTTGTCATTGATGGTGCTTGAGGTTCTTGATGTCGATGTGAACTGGGCCAATGCCTTTTCCAATCCATTGAGATATTCAGCTGGATCAACACTGGCATTGAAAACATCAACAACTCCTTTGGCCATATTGGCCACATCCAAGACACCAAGCCAGAATTCGATGATATCTCCAGTTTTCTCGGCAGATGCACGGGAGAATCCAAAGATCTCGTTCCTCTCCTTCACCTCGGGAACGGCGACCTTCTCGAAGAAGTCTTTGTATGCGACATTTCCGCAATCCTTTGTGACTCTGTAGATCAATAGCCACTTCTTCGCGACTTCATCAAAAATTCTTTCGCGATAGATGCTGAATTGCTTGCCGCGTCCATTCCGGAAAATTTCCAGAGCTTGCCTCTTCGAAATCCGGACTCCCCCCATGTGAGATAGAGATTTCATCAAATGCTCCCCATACGCCAACGATGCGTTTGAAATCAACGAAGACGCAGTAAAGGTAAGCCAAGTCTGAAATCCTTGATTGATGTCAAC